TAGTAGCGATGCACTTGTTCCTAGTAGCAATGCACTTGTTCCTAGTAGCGATGCCCTTGTTCCTACTAGTGATGCGCTTGCTACTAGTAGCTTCTTGCTACTAGTAGTAATGCCCTGGTTACTAGTAGCGATGCACCTGTTACTAGTAGTAATGCCCTTAGCTACTAGTAGCGTCCTTGCTACAAGTGAAAACATCAGACGAGCACAGGGAGCTCCCGGGAATGTTTGCCAAACCCGGAGCCCGCCCAATCCTGTGTGCCACTTTTGCATGCTCATGGCGTGCGACAGGCGGTGTCTATCTTCAGTCAGGCACCCTTGCCCGATGCGCAGCTGTTTGGGTTGGGTATGGTGGCGTGGCAAAGAGGCCACCATTGGCAGAGGCTGGGGCGGTTCAGCCGTGTCAGCACATGGCTGGATGCCAATATTGGCTGGTGAGCACATTGGCTCCCCAAATTCCTGTCACTAGCTGCTTCAGCCTGCCAGGTCTTTGGAAGTGTTTTACTACGCAAGCAGCCTCTTCTCTGGGAAGGGAAGATGGGTGTTCTACTGACATCTCAGTGTCGTCCTTTTCCCGCTCACAAGCCAAATTCAATGGCAGAGCGTGATCTTTTTTTGGTGCTTTGTTTCATGTTATGTTATACATACTGTATATATGTGTTTTTTTCTCTAAGCTCAATAGTGCCATCAACACTTACATAGAGTATGTTAAGGACAATGCTCAAGCAAAAATCCACCCTGACACGGAGGTAAGGTATGATTTTGACGAGCAACTTTAATCAAGTACAATTTCTGTCTTTGCATTTGATGTTTGCATGCATGACCAACACCTCGCTGGACAAGGCCTTGAAGCTGTAGATCAGAGGCTGTTGAGCTGTGCCATAGGCGCCTGCCAGGATTCTGGACGGGCTGGTATTCCTTGAGTAAAGGGCAATTCAACAAGAGAGGAGCAAAAGAGAGTCAGTTTATTAAAGGGGCCCTTGCCTTCATTTGTGTGTGTGTGTTTTTTTTTAAACCTGTGGCCTGTGGTAATTGCCTTCTTACTTTTTGATCTCACCGACAATGCGGTGCAACAGTGCGTATTCGTAGTGTGAAGATGCGTACTCGTGAGTCAGCAGAACCTTCAGGAAGGGGACATCTTTGGGCAGATCCCTGCTTCACCTTGTTAGAGTGATAGAACTGGACTCCATGGATGGACATGCCGTTTTCCAATTGCTGCCATGAGAGTCCTGTTGCCCATAGCAGACCTTTAGGATTTATGGATGACTTTCTGGTTTATGATATTGAGCCCAAATGAGACACTCATGAGAAGCTTGTTTCTGATAGGTTCGGCAATAGAAGCTGTAGATGGCTAATCAGAAATCGCACACTGTTTGGCAGCTGCAAGGAGGGCGCTCAATGGCAAGAAGCTTTGCATCTCCTGGGCATGATGCCCAAAGGGCCTGGCAATCCCCAGGTGGGGCTCAAGGCTCATGCCCCATTCCGGAAAGGTGGTTGATGGAATGTTCTCAATTGTTCTCATACCTTGCAGCACGTGCGGTTGATAACTGCTTGATCGCCGACCTTGATCAGCATACATGCCACCCGTGATTCTGAACGTTTTCGAGCTCTAAGAGGACTGTTTCTAGTTTCTTGTGTGGAAATTGAGGGTCATACCCCTGTGTGATTGGGTTTTGAACAAAAATGACCACCACAGGCTACTACAGGTCCAATCTTTCTCAATACCTCCATCATCCTCCATCGACTCTTTACAGGAGGTCTCTTGTGAGACAAATAATGACGTGAAAGCCAGACAATTTGTTGTCTCCGAAAGACGTTGACACTTCCGCTCAGCACCGCGTCCCTGCCCTGGGTGCGGCCTGCAGCGCTTGCGAGCGGTGCTTACGGTGGAGGAAGGCTTTGTTACTTGCCGAAGGCCTGCTCGAAGAGGCGCCGGGCCGCATTCTGGTCGCTGTGAAAGTTAGCTTTATAGTTGTAATGGACTATAGCCGCCCTCGGGTAGGAGAAGACTGGCTCTACTGCGTCCTTGGATGTATAGTCAATACTTTCATTTCCTACCCTCCCCCATTAAAGAAGCAACTTCGAGTTTGTCCTCCGATCTCGGACTTGACCAATTCAGTTGAGAAAATCAAGTTGGCACAGGGACTTCGCTCCAACGTGGTGCTCCTGGGCAGTGTGTTGAGCGCTTGGTCCCGTGGCTTTCAATGGGACCATGCGCTGAAACTCCTGGCAGAGAGAGGAGTCCAGGCCCATGCAGCGAGATACATCAGAAATATGTTGCTTCACTTGGTACCATGGAGGTGTGTTGGGATGCACACCCTGCGAATTTCGTCGTAGCATGTTGTAGCAAATGCAGATTGGGGCACAGGATCCCTTTAACGCATGTCTTCCACATGGCGATTGTTGGCTAGGTTGTCAATATTTGGCTGGCTCAGGCGGTATAGTTCCACTAGAGAGCTGGTTACATTGGCAAATTGTCAATGCAAAGGTTGGCCCATTGTGGCTTTTATTTACTCTTTATTTATGTGTGTCCACATGGTCTCGTACCCTGAAAAGAAGTGCATACAGTATACAGATGTATACAGTGTTTACAACATCCAAGGCAGTGCCAGTCTAGGCCCATTGTCCACCTTCTTCAGCACTGACAGAACTGCTAGTGGACCCGGCTGTGCTAGGACAAACAGGCATGCTGTCGGAGCACGACAGCTTCAAAAGCTCAAGCAATGGAGTACGGAAAAGAATTTGTGAGAACATGAAGTTGTGAGTGGACACATAAAGTACAAACATGATGGTAAGGGGTCCCTTTAGTAATGCCCTTCCAAAGTAGGTCTTATATAAAGAGGCTTACGTTCCTTTGTTTCTTTATGTTTCCACTTGCAACTTCTATTATATATATATATATATATTTACTTTGTGGGACCTTTTGGTCCTTCGATTTCATTATATTTCATAGGCAGCTCTCTGAAAAAAGCGCATCGGTGGAACATGGAAGTCCATTACTCTTGTGCTCCACCACCTACAGGTTTCGTGTCTCGGCTTTCGTCAGAACAACATCATCACCTACACTGCAGCCAGCTCTGCCATGGAGAAGGCTCACTGATGAGCCTGGCAGCAGGGTATACTTGCTTGTATCACGTTCTGTTGTTGTATTGCCTTAAAGTACAGTATGTCAAAACATCTCACAATTCTTGCAGCAAATGCCGTGATTGTGCCGGGTAAGAACTGTAAGAACCCAGCACCCATGCTTTAAGTTATATATATAATGCCTCGGCGGTAGAAGAACCTCAAGGCTCAACGGCCATTTCGGCTTAATTACACGTATAGGCAGAAGATATGATGCAGCAAGCAATGTGACTAGTGTTATCCCGGCTCCGGCCAGGTGCTTCATGGCCATTTTGGCCTTAAATCAATTTCACATGGTGGACTTGACTGGCCTTGCCTGTGCCTGACACCATGTTCATGGACTTGATGCACTGGTCAGGCACAGCACTGGCGCTGGGCTTTGGAACTCTTCTTGAACGCAGGCATGGAACAGTTTCTAGAGCGTTGGGCCCGCTGTCCTGCATGACTTCGTGGACCTTGGAAGACTTCGTAGAGGCATCAAGAGGCTCTTCCCAAAGCGCCACTCATCGACGGGGAAGGCACGTCTGGTCGTTTTGCCGCGCAGGAGCCCATGGCTTGCGGTTCAACGTCCAAAGCTTCAGCTGCCTCCAATCAGCCTGCGCTGAGCACGGCCAGTGGACCATGGCAGTGGCCATCATGAAGGCTGGCGTAGCTGTGTTGGCGACAGCTGCCAGAGCTGTCATGAAGCTCAACAAGGATAGTGGGAATGGTGGCATTGAAGTGAATCTTCCCAGTTTATGTTTAGAAGTCGCACAATGAAGGAGTGGAATGCAGCAATTTAATTGCATGTTCTAAGAAGGCAAGAAGGCAGGCTGCCCAAGAAGAACCGGCCCTTTCAGATCATGTCCGACTACAGCGTGACTGGCAATGATGCTTGCAAGAATGCATTGGAGCTTTTGCCATCAGTGTCCTGCTGATTCAACCCCGTTCTGTATTTTAGGGATTCATGAGGGCATTTAGACAAAGCCTCTGCGCGGATGTAGCGCTGTGAAAAGGGATTGAAGATGATTGAATCAGTCCGTTTCAGCTTTGAACGATTCATCCAGCGACAGTGTACAATCACCGCAGCCGTGCGTACTAGTCGGTACAACGTTCTTCTGCCGTCCTTACAAGGACTACAGCTTCAATGCCCTCGCGCGCGCTTCTCAACGTGGCAGAGCATGGCAGGGTGTGTGCTGGGTCTTTGGCAGCATGGAGGACAGATGATCCATGGCTCTCGCGGCTCTCGCTTGGTAGGTTGCTCACCATTTGGACGATTGGCTCAAGTGAGATGTTAACTACAGTAGATGGACCAAATATTCAAACCCATGTATCAATAACTGTCGCCAACCCCTGCCCCCCAAAGGTCAATGTTGAACATAACTTGATTGAAATTGTGTTTCCAGGGTTTGATTTGTTTCGTCCATTCGCCGAAACATTCTTGCAAGACCTCTAACATTGAGCTTTGGGGTAGAAGGGGTCCACGTGGTTGAAAGGGTTTGAATATTTCGTCCATCTACGGTACTGGGTGTGGACGGCGACCGGAGACCTACAGGCGCACATGCGTGTGTTGTTTTCAAGTGATGCCGGGCGGCTCCAGCTACTGTTCTTGCTGTCGCCATGTGCCGTGTCTGTTCCCAGTCCCTTTCCAGTGCCTTTCCAGTGCCTTTTCCAGTGCCTTTTGCACTTTCTCGTGGCCCTGCCAGCAAAACTGTGCTTCTGGTAAGTTTTGCTGAAACAAAAAGATAAGCTATCTCTTTTTAGCAAAAAAGTGAGTCACATGGCAAAATCACTGGCAGGCGCACACAAACCGTGAAAAGGCACTGGAAAGGCACTGGGAACAGACACGGCACATGGCAAAAGTAAGAACAGTAGCTGGAACTGCTTTCCTGACGTCTGCTGTCCTCGCTCGCAACGCGTCGATGTGAAAGTGTTGTTGAGCACAGAAGATTAAAGCACAAAGTACTACGGATGAAGATGTTAGACTTGATACTTACGAGCCAAAAATACGCAAACGTCACACCTTTAGACGGTACTGGGTGTGGACGGCGACCGGAGACCTACAGGCGCACATGCGTGTGTTGTTTTCAAGTGATGCCGGGCGGTTCCAGCTACTGTTCTTGCTGTCGCCATGTGCCGTGTCTGTTCCCAGTCCCTTTCCAGTGCCTTTCCAGTGCCTTTTCCAGTGCCTTTTGCACTTTCTCGTGGCCCTGCCAGCAAAAATGTGTTTCTGGTAAGTTTTGCTGAAGCAAAAAGATAAGCTATCTCTTTTTAGCAAAAAAGTGAGTCACATGGCAAAATCACCGGCAGGCGCACACAAACCGTGAAAAGGCACTGGAAAAGGCACTGGGAACAGACACGGCACATGGCAACAGTAAGAACAGTAGCTGGAACTGCTTTCCTGACGTCTGCTGTCCTCGCTCGCAACGCGTCGATGTGAAAGTGTTGTTGAGCACAGAAGATTAAAACGCAAAGTACTACGGATGAAGATGTTAGACTTGATACTTACGAGCCAAAAATACGCAAACGTCACACCTTTAGACAGTAGATGGACCAAATATTCAAACCCATGTATCAATAACTGTCGCCAACCCCTGCCCCCCAAAGGTCAATGTTGAACATAACTTGATTGAAATTGTGTTTCCAGGGTTTGATTTGTTTCGTCCATTCGCCGAAACATTCTTGCAAGACCTCTAACATTGAGCTTTGGGGTAGAAGGGGTCCACGTGGTTGAAAGGGTTTGAATATTTCGTCCATCTACGGTAGTGTTTGAAGGGTTTGAGGACTGTACTGCTTCTCAATACTCCAACGTCAGGAGCAGACAGGGCTGGCCCCCGATGTCATGACACTCGCAGCAGTCAGCGAGGCGTGATGAGTAGAACTCGGGATCAAGAACGGTTTGCATCAGGATGGACAGTTATATAACACTCAAAAAATCTTAAAACCAAGCAAACAGATGCAAATAACTGGTGTTTGGTGATAAGCTGATGTTACTTGGGACTTTTGAGACCTAGAGACTTGGTGTTGACAGATACAGAGCCTTTCACATGTTTCATGGCCACTCACCTGAGGCCTGCGAGCAAGGAGCTCAGGCTGCTGCTGTGCCAGAGCTGTGCAGCGATCTCAAAGGCACCTTTTGTGCAGACGGAAACCAGGACTCGTCCGTCCCTTGGTACGTGTCAGCACAATGGTGCATCGTACAGGGACCTGAACTTCTTCGATGGAATTGGCATGGAATGCAGAGACCAAACACCCTTGAACACAAGAGTTTGGACACGTATGACATAGGTAAGCAGATGGCTTCACAACAATCCCAACAGACTGTTCGTTTCCAGGGGTTTGTCGTGTACGACTAGTAGACCATCCAACTGCAAGGACCAGGCTTGGATGGCCCCCTCTACAACCGCACGCCGCACGACTATGACCATCCTAGCTTTTGTTGCTTTTACGATGGTAAGTGACAAAGAGTTGACTCATGAACTCGTGAGCTCATCTTTGATTGCCAGATCCGCTTAGGCATTTGATTACTTGAAAAGATTTGAAAAGAATCTGTTACTTTTTGGAAGCAATTCCCTGGGTTCACGGATCCACTCCAATCCACTCCGGTGTGGATCCTGGTGTTTGCCTCGCCCGAGTGGAGGACGTTCTGGTTTTGGAGCTGCTCTCTGCCTTTGATTCCTTGGACTCCACGACTTCGCACAGCTTTTGGCGGCGTCGGGCTCTTCCGGCTGCTCTCCGACTAGGCCTGTCCACCCGAAACGCAACGATCGGCGTGGGAAGTTGATATTTGATGATATTTGCATATGTTTGCCAAATGCTTTGGAGGTCGCCAGAGCTTTGCAGGAAAATCAGCAGATGGAGATCCGAATTCTACTACAATGGATGAAATAATGTATTACAAAGACAAGCTAATCCATTGGGTTGCAACTGGGCCTTTCTGGTCCATGACGGCCGACCTTTTACCGGTCATTGCGCACGCGTGCCCGGCGGGCTCCATTTATGCAATTGCAGTCTGGAAATTTTTCCAACAAATGAAATGGCGCCATCCAGACTTGCCACTAAATAAAGAGGACTACGGCATCACTTGGTACGAACTAGCGATCCAATTCACAATTTTTGCCGGTAAACGCTTGCCGGTCTGGATCCATGATTCAGACAAGGGCTTTGCGGTCCCTTTTGACTTTTTTTCGGATCAGGTCGCACTCCAAAAACCAGAGTTTCGAGGTCTTGGTCATCAAACTTCTGCTTTCCGAGCAATCGTGAGATACCTTGAAAATACTAGTGGAATTCACCTTTTTCCACGTTATAACAAAAACTGGGGCTAGCTCACTATTTCGCCTAGGATTCCATCGAAGCTTGATGGGGGAATCGCCGCTCGTCCAACCTTACCGCAGAATGCCTTGTCTTATGGAATCCTGGATACATATGCCTCGGCTCCAGGACAAAATTACCCACTCAATGTTCGAGTCCCATTTCAGCCGCAGCTTAACCATGCACAGATTACACCTGAAGCTCGAGAGAAACTCTCCTTTGAAAAGCGGCATAATTTGTACCAACGCGTTAAAACATGTATTCGTTTGAAGCAAAATCTCAATTCGCTTGTGTGGACACAGTAAATTAGATGCTTTTTGTGCCGATTAATTCGCGTGTGATTGTGACTGTGGAACATATCAGTCTGTGTATCGCACTGTATTTTCCATGTTTTCTTTGTGTACATTGCATGTTGATTGTGAATACCAACCCTAGAGTACCCCACGAAGTGGAAGGGCTGTGAGGGGCGCGACATTGACAAGTCCGCAAGTTTGTGTGTGTGACTTCAAATTGGATTTTGGCTGTTAGTTGAATGAGTTGCCAAGTGCAACCTGCTAGATTGGACATTTGCACTTGAGAGAGAAGGGGCCTTAGGGTTTGACCAAGTCATTAAGAGGGCGTGTGCTGAATTGACACTCACCTTCATTCCTTCAGTCCTGACCTCATTCTTTGATTCATTTCTTCAAGTCTTTATTGCATTAGTCATTAGTCACATTATGTAGCTATGAGCCTTAGCACAATGCATTGTTGCATTGCTTTGAAGTCACCTTGGTAGTATATAATACCTGCGGCATCATTTGTTCATCTCAGACTCTGCAGGAGGGAGCAGCACTTCATTTGGTCATGACCCTCTGATGGGACAGATTCTTGGCCATAATTATACAAGTATATACCTTCCGCAGGTTAAGCGTCGGTATACATGCTTTACTGTTCGCCAATCCCTTGTGTGTCCACGCCTTTGCTATCAGGTTTACCTTGGGAGAATCCTTCACCCGCTGGGTAGGGCTCTCAGATTGAACATGTGAGAGATCCATCGGTCAGCTGGGTAGCTCAGTCTGTTTGCAGCTTCAATTCGATGATTGTATAGACAAAGCTGAATAGTATGGCTGAAGCACGTTTGAAGCCCTTCCGTGTGGAAGTTTCAAGAGAAGCTGGCCCCTTTATTGTAATCATTCACTCAGACGGCTTGTTAGGTTTCACCTTTGTATAGCCGCTGAGAATGTTGCCTCACAATTGTAAACCATTGAGTTTGAGTTGTGTACTGCATACTATATATCACAGTTGGACAATCTTGGCATCTTTTATAACTTTTACTACTGTAAATAGCAGTCTTTGGCTGCTTTTTGCTGACCTCCAGGTTTGCGATTCAAAATATGAGGCCAAGAGCCCTGTCAGGGACATGGGGTCGATAGAGTTGTTGTCGACTGAGTTGGAATAGGAACCGCTGGACGAGTTTAAAGGATTTGCAACACTGCTATGGCAAGGATCTGTCATTTCAATTCTCTCAATTTTGTTGCGTTCATCTTGGCTGTTTAACTGTGTCTTGAACCGACACAAAGCAAAAGGGTCCGAAACACTCCGGTCGCTACCGGTCATGAGGATCCACTGCCAGGGGACATGTTGGACCAATGTATCCCATCCATTGAAGATTGGCAAGATGCAGTACATTTTATGTGCGTATATGTATATATTACAAGTATACAGTATACAGTAAGTATATAATACTAGTATTACTAGTATATACTTATACATGATCATACATATACATACATGTTCAAGGTAGTACACGTATTCACTCCCGAGTTGAGTCCCAAAGAGTCTTTTGGGATTATATAAACATTATGGTGTATTTGAACACGTCATACCTTTGTTGATGAAAACAATGCCTTGATATCCTTTGACAAAGTGGACAGATTTGAGTCAAGCCGGCAATCCGTTCCTACAAATATGTTCCCGTTGTTTAATCTCATCCATGTGACAGGATGTTTGTTTCTCCCTTTGATCTTGCGCAAGCTTCATCCATACAAGTATCGGGGTGTTTTGCAGAACACATGATTGTTGCAAACAGCAAAGGCCATGCTAGCATACCTTTGCCAACTCCAAGACACTTGGGTCCCAAAGTTATTTGCGCACATATCGCTCAGATCTGGCCGCACTTCAGTACTTTAGCAGATATTGCTGGAATCACATTCCATTCATCGCATCCCTACTCATGGCAATGGCTGTGGCCTAGAAAAGCTGCCAGGCCTTCCTTGCCAGCGCACGTCTCAACGCGCGCCGTGGCTCCACCAGCATTCATGTCATCGACGAGCCCTTGGCAACAGCTGCTTGGACATTTGCCACTGCTCGGACAATACATTTTGTCGCCTGTATAAGTAGTGGACCGATTAGGACTCGATAGCGACTTGGACTACTATGACCTTTGCTCAGGAATAGTTGTTGAGCTCTGTGGCCACGTTGTGATCTATATCTATGCAACACCCTACCGCTACTCTCAAACATGATTGGGGAGGCCAGGTGTTCTTTAATGTCCTATTCAATCGGTGATGAGGCTCTTGCCACTTGGTTGGCCGCATCATTTGCCACTTGGCCTTCAAGTGAGACAATTGGGACCCAACATTTCGGAGAACACTTTTCAGGGTCAGACATTGAGAGCTTGCAAGCTGCATATACAGTGTATATATATATATTATTTGACAATCTGACAAAACTTCCGTGCACGTACTTTAGTCATGAGCCGCCTTAACTATTTATGAATTAGCCAAAACCTTGCAAAACCGATAGGGGCCAACCCTATACCGATACCCTTTCTTGATTGAACGTAGCTTATTGCCTGCATTCCAAAACATGGGAACAGATACTGTAGGGGCCAACCTAAAAGACTTTGATATTGGGGACACCAAGAAGTTTTGCCCGCCGCTCAAGTATGTATACATACGTTAAATCAGGATTGCATGGAATGCTTTCACCGGTGCTTTGGCTGAGATTCTGTTCTGACCCTCAGTTCAATCTCCTCTACTGTAGTTAGCGTTGGCAGCTGGAACTTTGTTGGAGCTTTCCAGATTGCCTTTTTGTATGCAAGCAGCTTGCTTCATAGATCACCAGTGACACGGCTCTGTTTGTCTCACTTGAACCGTATATAATAGGCAATCAATCACGCAAAGTAAGCCATACACTATAAACCTCATACATTGTTTGTGCAAAAGCAGTTAGTGCATGGCAGATTGATTATTTACTCAACTTCGTGAACCATTGGTTTAAGTTGTTAAATAGATTATTTTGGGTTTGGCCTGAAGCTCCTTGTCTTTCTTAGATGGTCGGAGAGAAGAACTGTGCCTAGCGTTTGCTGAATCTCATCTTCTGGTGTCAAGCCTACAAAACGCCTCTCCGAGGCCACTCCGTCTCGGCTCGTGGGTCATGGCGGATCGGGTTTGGATGGCACCCCTTTGCAGCCGGTGCTGGTGCGGGACGGGCAAAACGTGAGAGGCAAATGCTTTGGGCTTGAACCGTCCACGGTGCAGTGCTGTGAGAATATGTGAGGCATGATTTATTGGGGGGTTCCTCGCCAAAAGAATCCATGTTTTTCGTGGGAAAGTACAAATTTGATATATAAATCGATCATGTGGAGATGGTAGGATGCCAGTTTTCAGCTCAGTAGCTGCTTAGCTCAAGTTTAGCTGTCAACCTTCATCCAGTTATTGCTCAGAGCTCACACCAGGTCGAGCATGAACGTCTGTGGCATGCAGAGCGACACAGTTTGCTCCTGATTCTCTCCCAGACCTGAAGGAAGTCAACACTGTGTGTGAGGCTGGTTCTACAAGCTACAGCTAGTTATTTGTTGAGCATTCCTTTGGCAAACTGCAAACACAGCTGCTGAATCCTGCTGATTGTTTTTTCAGGTCTTCGGTCTTTGGCCAAATTGCTGACGGTGGCTCGAACACTGCAGGACACTGTCCACTACCATGCCCATAAGTGCCAGATGTGGATTTCTTTTTCATTCTGAGAGCGCCGTGTCGTTAAGAAGAGCGATTGATACCCAGCCTTTCGCCAACCAACTAAAGGTCAACAATCTTGGTGTTGTTCAGGGGGTTCTCGGTGTCTTTGTCTCTTTCTTGGTTGATTCTTTTGTTACCACTTGTTCCTTAGATCTTACTTCATTTGTGTTCAACTGGATGTTTCTGAGGCCTGAGGGTATCATTAAATTGAGCTTCTTGCTGGTTTTTGAGAGGTTGCTTGCTTGCTTCATTGCTTCAAGTTGTTTGGATGAGACCAGTCTGAACGATGGTGAGGAGATGGTGGGAGAGAAAGTGAAAGAGAGGGTGAGCAAGGAGGAAGAAAGCTGAAAGGAAGAAACACCGTGCATGTGTTTTATATTTTTGTGTATACGACAGCAACATGTGTGGTGTTGACTCCTGCGGAGGTGCATGAAGTGGTTTGACGCATTTTACTCCAAGGCAATGGAAACAGGTGCAAAGGAGAAAGCTGCAGGCAATGTCCAGCAGCGGCAGCCCTTGTGGGCCGACGACTGTCCCCGAAGAGGTTGGACAGTCGATATCTGGTCCTGCCCCGAAGAGGTGGTAGAGTTGATATCTATGCAGGCTTAGGTGCAAAGTTACAGCAAAATATGTGGATTCGGGTCCTGCCCCGAAGAAGTCTTAGAGTTGATGTTCATGGATGAGGCTTATGTCTCGCTTGTGTCGGTTTTGGTGCAATGTTGACAGTGGAGAGTTACGTGCAAGATGAACTGTGGTGTCCGCGCCTCCGCAAGTTGGTCCGTGAGGCCAGTGAGCAAGCCCCTACCGTTGCGCAGCAGGAAGTAAATTTCTCAGCCTGTATAGGCCTGTTGGCCTTTCTTTCTCTTCAGGGGCATAGGGTTGACATAGCCCCAGTCGTCTTCCATGAGCCATTGACCTTTTCCGTCAAGGCCTTTAGGCTTCTTTAGGGCCGTTCTTGTCAAGACAGTCCCTGGCCATGTCGCTGCCGCAGACGAGGCAACGCGTTGAGGCCGAAGAAACAGCGAACACACGGTCTTTCTTTGTTGAGCTTGCTCCAAGAACGGCCTGCATCCATGGCCACAGCTTCGGCTTCACCTTGTGCCTTGTGCTCCTCCATCACCATCACCTGGAGCGTCTTGGTCTCCTCCATGTCCAACCATCCCAAGTGACAGGTGTCATCCAGGAAGAGTCTCAAATAGGTTCCCAATCATAGCCCCACGAGGTTGCAGGTTTGTGATCTTGATAGAGGATCTCAAGAGAAGCATCGCCAAGGCATAGTGAAGGCGGTTGCGTGTGCTCCCCAGCGACACGCAGCGTGTACTCCATGGTTCCCTCCTCACGCAGATCACTTTCCGCCAAGGCCACGCAAAACAGCATGGCAAAACGATATCGCGGACGTAATTTCGCCGCACGATGCCACAGACTTTATAGATTCAGTACTGCAACCCAAGCCTTGTGGGCGCCGCCAATCGTCCAGCTCCCCAGCGACTCGCCGCATTTACGCCAGCGCTGACTTCTCATGCAAATACTGAGGCCGCGCAAAACCGCACGGCGCAGCGTCGCAGACGTAATTTCACCCCACGTTGCGCCACAGACTATATATTGCACAAACATATAGTTACATATGTAACGCCAAGCCTCGTGCGCACCGTCAGTCATCCTGCTACCCATGCCCCCAAAATGGCACGGACTCGGGCAAGAGCACTTTCCACCGAGGCCGCGCGAAGCCGCGGGGCACAGCGACATCACAGAGATCATTTTGCTGTGTCTAGATACGTTTTCGACGACAATCTGGCACACTTTGGCACCGTCCACCTTCATTTTTTCGACGACAAATGCACACTCTGTCACCTTCAGATACACACTTTGGCAACATCCACAGTTGGAACTTTAAAGCACTGCTTGAAGGCTTTGAGACTTGACACGCACTCGCACAAGGGTCGCCACCCACAATGCCATATCAGATCATATTTGTTGAGACTTGGCAAGCAACTTCGTGCCAAAGGGTTGCCACCACCGCCGCCGTCGTCGCTCTGAAATCACAATTTGACATTTTAGAGACTTGGCGCGCGTTTCGCGCGAAAGGGTTGCCACTACTGTCAGTAGGAAATCGCAATTTTCATAATTTTCCCGCAATCAAAATCATATCGATAGTTGCTACGCATTTCGTGCAAACGGTTGCCGCGGACAATTGGAAATCGCAACTGACCCACATATTTTATCATATTTTAAAATATTTTGACGCTTGATGTGCTGTAATAATTACTCATGTTCATGTTCCTGCTTTTGTTTTTAACAAGAACTGTTCGCTCAGGCGCTCCCGGGAACAAAACACAAAAATCACCGAACAATGCACACTGAAACATCCTTTTGATCCCCAAGTCTTGTAAAAACATGTAGAGGCAATCTTCCCAAACAAAATCAGGATGAACTATGACTGAATCTGGAGCTATGGCTATGAACGAGTGCGCCTTCGTCCAGGACATGCGAGGTCGGGGCCCTGCGTTTGGTCAGACAGAGTTTGTGCGGTGAAGTTGACGTTTGCTGAAATTTTATGCGAAACTTTCGTCCGCAGCATCAAACAGCTTCTGTGGCCATTTCCTCGCTCTTGTATGGCTTTGTTCAGTGATGCCGACTCTTTAATGTCACACTATGTTTGTTTTTGTCACAACGACTTTAGCCTTTAATCCCAAGTAAGTTTCACAGGTTTTGCCCACTTGGAGTATCTTTGAAATATTGTTTCGAGTGCTGCGCACTCAACACCTCTTGCTTGCAGCCATGCGCCCACGTCGTGGCAGCTTCGATGATGCCTTCTCCCCCATGGTGTCAATGCCAAGTGTGGTTGACCTGGACGCAGCAGGTGCAAAAAAATGTTTGACAGGGTTTGCTTTCAGACTTTCTATATATATACATATGAGCCAAATCCCGATTGAACTTGCCGCTATGGAATCAGGTAACCCAGGTACTGAAATGGACCATTTTATATTTCTCTCTATAGAATTAGAATGGAGTTGCTGAGGGGTCAAGATTTACCTACATTTGTCCGTGAGGTTGATGTACTGGAGCTGGGAGGTCAGATTGTACAGAGAGATCTTGGGTTCTTATAACTGTCCGTGAGCTTCTGCATGGTCGCATGGGGTGTGTGACTTGGTACTAAGGTATTCTTGCTGTATGTTTGATGAAAGTTTCTGAAGAGTCCAGTGTTTACCTCAGTGTTTCTGAAAAGTTCAGTTTCCAATTTGTTTGGCGTCAGTGTTTACAGTAAAGGAAGTTGTACCAAGAAAGCGCAAACTAGGCCTGTTGATTTGCTTCAGCCTTGATGCTCAATGAAGTGGATGTTGAAGAAAATGCAAAATCGATACCCGGATGATCTTTTTTGCATCCAGTGGTCTCACTTTTTTACATCCAGCTTGCATAATGTTGTCGGATGTCGACACGAAGGATCGGAAACGCCAATCAGAAAACACTTTTGTCACTATAGAATCAAAGGTTTTTTTGGATATCTTGATGTTATGTTTTCTTTTTCCGGACATCAGATGGGGGGGTGTGATTCTTAAGTGATCGGATTGTTCCGATCAATCTCCGTTAGGTTGCCATTCCGACTAAGGGGTTACATTTTATAGTGATGTCGTTTTGTCCAGGACTCAGATTTTATAAGGATCTATGTGTCCCGAAGCTGGGGGGGAGCTGCTTTATACTATAGAATCGGTGTACCAGTGGGGAGATGTGAATTTCAAAGGGGATTAAGCCAACAGCTTTAAATTTGATAGGGTTTCCTGCAGCTTATATAAATTCGTCGAGATTCGAGATGTTACAGAGGAAACTTTGTTTTTCCATCTGCCGGCAGATAATCTCCCTTCGTAGGCACCCGTATGGAGAAGGACTTGCTAGGCTCGAAGGACTGGACATGGCAATCTGCTGACCTTTGCATGTCCGAGGTCAAAAAAAATAATACAGTGTGTGTGTGTATATATATATATATATGTTGTATCATGATGCATCATGGACTTGAAGGTTTGTATAGTCTTGTTTCTGTATTGTTGTATGTTTTCTCTCCCTTGCCCGGATTCAAAAGGTTGCCAGGCAATTGAAATGCCTTGAAACACTGATTTGATAGGAGGGTGTTGGGTTCCGTGCTTGAAAACTGGCAATGTGTTTGTTCGTGGTGAGAAGTGAGAATTGGTCTAATTCAGACCAAGATGCTGCAAGTCGCAGGAGGTGCCCAAGAATGCCTACTACGGCCACTTGGCACCGACATGCGCCCACCAAGCGGATCAGATGTCAGACATGCCACAGTTCTTTCAGTCAAGTGGCAACTAAACCGATTACAGCTGTGACGCAGAATCGAGCTGTAGAACTCGAATCATGAATCAAGACATGCGAGACATGTGTTCATGATTATCAACGTCGACCTATCTACCGACTATCTATTTGTCTATCTACTGTATTGGCTACCCCAAAAAAACATATACACCCGTTTTGGGCTACAAGCACTGATTTGATGCAGGTATTTATTGACCCATAAACAGACGACCAGAAGAAAGCATTATACACCAGATGACCATACGTTCAGATGACTGAGCACTTACACTTGCAAGTGTTCTTTTATATGAAGTAGACACAAGGGAAATCAACACAGACCTTTTTTGGATCCCAGACTGAATGTTTGGCCTTATTTTGTTCAATGTTCATTGACTTCTGAAATTTACAGTATCTCAAGTACGCTCTGTACATATCTATAGATTATATATCTCGTATATGTTGTTTGTATCCCCAAAAATGATGTTAAGCCAACACAATTCAAATTTGGTAGACCTTTTTGAGAGCTGGGGATGTGGTAGTGCACTTATTATTGATGTGTGTTTTCAAATTCGCTTACATGAAGCTAATACTATTATTGATCTTTGAATTATTGATTTGCAACAGTTCCTGTTACGATCATTTTTCAACACCAATCAATATATTGATGGGAGTTGCTGGTTTCCAGGCTTACATTCATTTTGGACTTCTCTTGAATACAAAATGGTTGCGATTGTTTTAGACTTTTTGTCCATTGAGAAATAGACCAAGACTTTGATGTGAAACATTTTTACCATCAGCTGAATTGTTTATTTCATGTTTCACATTAGTATCATTGAAATTCCTTTTGAAGGTACAGACAAACTTTGTGTTTGCTGTCCAGTTGAAATTCCTTGAAAGTTCTTTCGATAATAAACTGAAACTAATTCATCGATGGCAAATGTTGTTCCAAATAGAATAGTTCGACCAATACTGATCTATTTAATCATGGGCTTATGATAAGTCAATGAGCATTATGTTGCAACTTTTTCCTTTTAAGTGATGCAGCAGCCTTAAGGGCATGCAACGAGATGATTGTTATCCTGGTAGCTTGTGATTTGGTTAAACATGGTATTAAATATTGAAACAGTTTAAAGACATGAAATTCACAACTACCCTAATTATTTATAAAACAAGGGTAAGTTTAAGCTGTCACAACTCCATCACTCCACACCCCGCCACAAACCGCTCTCAAAAGGGATACCCAGCACCCATGGTTTACAAAACTAGTTATAATAATCCAGTTTACCGTCAATATCTGTAATTATAGAATCTGTCAAACAATCAATCAACATCTCAATTTGGGTTCAATCAACGTTTTTTTTGTATATGTTGTTAAACATATAGTATCGATGTGAATTTGTATTTTAGCCTTTCTCAAAGGGAGTAGCAGAGCAGACTGTGTAGGAATGACAAGGCTGTGAGCCAAACAAAGAAATAGACCAGCAACGATACATAATGGCCCAATGGCCTTTGCCTCATAAGTACCCATTGGTTTGGTTCTCAGTAGTTTGCTTGGCTTGCTCAATGGTTGGTTGGGCAAAGCTATGCAGGAAAAACAAGGCTGTGAGCCAGGCAGAAGTTGTGAAAGGCACTACTATTTTCTACAGAGCATCACCTGCGGAGTTGGCAGGCAGACCTGTAAATGACATGCAAACTGGACATTGCAAGGCCATGCCAGGTTTGTGCCCTGGATTGAAGATTGAAGATTTAAAGAAACTGTTTGAATCCAGAGACTTGGATTGAAGATCGAAGATTCTGAACAAAAACCTTCAATCCAGCCCTGGATTGAAGATTGAAGATTCTGGGAAAACGATTGAAGATTGAAAATTCCGGAAAACTATTCAACCCAAGGACTTGGCTAGAAGATCGAAGAAATCCAGGGCTGGATTGAATAATTATTCCCAGAATCTTCAATCTTGAGCCCGGACCTTGCAAGGTATTGATTTGCGTGCCATTGTATATGGTAGACCATGTCCATTGTATATGGTAGACCTCACTCATCTCCCCACACTCCTTTTGCCAATTCATAAACAAAATTCTAAAAACATGGCTTTACTATTTACCCTGATCTTGATACCAAAGAAATGGGGATATTTGGGGGGTACCAGGTACCATATATAGTATTTATCTATGTAGACGTTGTGTGAGGACTCAAAGACTAAGAGTCATTGAATAAAGGTTTCGCGACACGTGCAAAAACTGTTCCACTATGTTGCACTTCTCATTCCAAGACACTGTACTTGTAAGCCACCTATCCCTCACTAAGATATCCAGCGAAACCTTTGGTGTTCTGAAAATGACCGTGTGAACGTTTGACTCTTGGAGTGGTTTTGCTGTGTTTGGTGTATAAAGGCGGTGCTGATATAACTTGCCGATCCTCATGGTATGTCGATTGCATTGGAACTAAGTATTTAAAATATGCATTAAGATGCATTGAGCAGATTAGGCCATGGGTCGTGAGAATCCGAAAACTCTTGTGAAAAGGTGCAAGAATCACTCGCCAGTGAAAGCTAGACTGGCCACGCAATCTGCAGTTTCGTGAAAGGTTACGCGAAGCGAGTTTGTCACTGGATGAGTTCTAGGATTTCTAACACTGCCGCTCAAGGTGTTGTTCAGCATGCCGTCAAATCAATCTGAATTCATAGAGGCTGAGTCGATATAGTTGGGTACTACACACCTGAAAAGTAGGCGGGCGGACACAGTGGTCAGTTTCGGCATTCGACTATATAGAGACTCCAGAGACGTCAACAAATAATGCAATTAAACAACCATGTTAAAAGTGTTGCTTCACAGTTGTGAAATTTGGAGTTCTGTGCACTTTGAATCACCAAGGAATCCAGACTTTACGTGCATTGGAGTGTTACAATATCACTGGCATCAGGCTGAGGAATTTCCCCGAGTTCATTGTTGCTCGGTAAAATGCCAAGTCAGTCAGAGCCGGTCAGTGGTAGTTCTGCACATGGGGCCACAGGATGAACACAAGATGATACAATTCCTTTGAGTACAGATAAAGGCTTTGAGTTCGTGATTTCGTGCCGCTTGACGGCCATTTTTTTCCTGAATGCACTTGTAGTCATTTCTACTCCAGCTACACTTCTTCAGCTTACGATCCATTGTCGAATGTCAGCAATCATAGTTGACAGTAACAGTGATGTGATCCTTCCGATGATTCCAGTGATCCTGGGGTGTCGTATGGCTGAGGTGGCCTTTGCCATGGTGAAGAGCTTTGGCTTTGTTCATTTCAGTCGAGGCATGTGACAGGCGTGTAGGAGGTCAGAGGGGCTATGGTTTTGCATCTCAACCTCAACCCATGCTTGCAGGACAGGCATTTTCAATAAGAATAATAAGAAGGATGTTTGTTTGTTTCGCGTGTCTTGGTCATGATTCTTTGGTGAAGACTTGCCCGCATCATAGCTGCGATTGTGAATGAGTGCAAGAGAATCCACCCAAAATCTAAGGAGTATTGTTGACACTATGGTACATCTAGTGTTCAGGCAGGCAAAATTCAACTTTTTACGACAGCACCATCTATCAAAGGAAGGCATGCGCAAATGCCAACTACAAGCTGGGCCTGCTAGACGTGAAGAAAAAGGAGGCCAGGCCCTCGGTGGGATTTGGCAGCAGCCTTTTGTTTTTGGCAACTACTTCTTTTTGCTAGAACCATTTAGTACCCTTTAGAAGGCCTTTCACTAACACTGGAGTTGCAACATTCTACAAACTTTGCGGTTGACATCCGTGGTGGAAGTCGCACGTGTAGGTATTCACAAACATGAATATAGACACACCCATATCATATCTATGAATGACCCTGCACTCTTGGAGCCAGCGATGAATGTTCCAAAGGACATCAAAGAACCAATGTAAATATAGTGGGAGATGTTTCTTCTTTTCACAGTTGCGAGCCTTTGTACCTTGACAAGATTTGATCAGATTGCACAGAGAAGTAGTGAGAAGTAGCACTTACTTACCAGGTTTCATGGCACTTGGCTTACTTGAGTCCTCAGGATTTACACACATGTTTTCTTCCCTTGGCTGTCCCCAAGGCGATTGTGCGGGCATGCAATGAGCTTATTGATCCTCGCAAAGATGCGGCTTGTCCAATTTTCCAAACTCGCATAAGCTACTGTTTGCCAGCAATGAACGAAAACGTTGGCTCCTGGACTCATTCAACTCTCATTCATTTGTTATATTCATGATATTGTTAGCTGTTAGCTCTCCAAAACAGGTAATTAACTATTCACAAGCAACGAATTGCTGAACAATAGCGTCAGTCTGTCCTTGTCAGCACCAAGGAGAGTTGCAAGGGCCTGGAGCTGCTTGACCAGAAAGTACGTCAGTTTGTCATGATTACAGTCTTGCAAGCAGATTTCTTCCCCCCCTCCAAATCAAGGTGGTCATAGTCATTGCATGTTGTCTTGCCTACAAGGAAATTATGCTATACTAGGCTATATATATTTTGTAATACTCCCGGTACCTGTGCAGCAAAGGAACCACTATGAATATGCTTTTCAGAAAGCCAGCATGTGAAGCATGTGAGTCAAGTTGCATGGAGAGACATTTGACAGCAAAGAGGGTGTTCAGGTGATACACTGAACCAGTGCCTTGATTTGCCCCCCCACCGTGTGTCCAGCTGTGTTTGGAAAGACACGCTCAGATGAGGATGCGTGAGAACTTCTTGGTCGATATGATTCAAGGTGCACCGTCCGCCACAGGATCAATTGCTTGGTGCGTGCTGAAAACGTTCTTGTGGCTTGCTGCCCGGTGTCCCCACTGATCACTTAGTCAGTGTCCACATGATGTGCTGCGACTCAGAAGAGCGCTCAAATCCCACAGGTGGCGCTGGCACCTCCACCAACATGAATGCCAATGAGGCTTGGAGAAGGGACCAACTTGAGTAGTTATGTGTGGTTTGCATTTGGATGCAGCGTAGCCCAGGTGGAGCATTGTTGACAAGCACTGCAACCCATATGAGCAACTGCAAGGGCACTCATTACAAACATGTTCTCACGGTGTTGTCCTGCATAATATGTACATACATGCGTATCATATCATATCATATCATATCATATCATATCATATCATATATCATTACATTACAGTGCATTGCATTACATTACACTAATGCATCCATCCAACCATCCGTCCAGCCAGCCACCCATGCATACATACATACATACATACATACATACATACACACATACATACATACATTCACACCATTGCATTGCATTGCATAGCGTGCATGGATGAAGGATACAATCCAGACTACCAGGGTGTGAGAAGGCCTTCACAAAGCGCAAACATAGGTTTAGATGGAGCTGGCACAGCAATTTGGAAAAGCCTATGTTCAAGTCGTTCACGGTCGATATTAAACGTGAACGGGTCATGGCAGATGAAGAGCCTTTGTGAAGGGCTCTAGGAGCACAGAAGTTTGGTTTCAGCACCGCTCATGATGCAGTGGAGTGAAGCTTGGAACATGGTATTAGTACAATTTAGAGAGCATAATTCTGAGCATAATCTAGCAAGCATAATCTCAGCTGGAAATTCAAGAGAACACAAGAGCAACTATGCTTGCCTAGAAGCTAGTTCTAGCAAAGATGACATATGATACCAAAAACTGTATCTACGGAATGGAGTAGAGCATCATTGTGAGTTGTGACACAACTTAGTCGCGGATTTCCGGTTCATCGGTTTGTCTGTTTGGGTCATAGTACAACTTATGTGAGTGTTTTTGAACAGTATTCCTCGGCATCGCAATTCTGGAAACCGTTGACTCGTTTCATCCGAGAGTTTGCTTTTGAGTTTTCCCTGGAAATTGATGCGAGACGTCCAACAATTTCCTATATTTGTAATTATTCAAGATGTCCTCGGATGTTGAAACCCCGTAAATTCTGCCAGTTAATTTACCTTTGGCGTCTATGTGCGAGACGCTGCAAAACGATATACAGGACGTCCCGACTGCGAATGAATGCATCCAAAACAACTTCCGGAAAAACAACTCATCAAGTAGCCGACTCGTGCGGAGAACAATCGTTTGAGGTCATTGCCAACCGAGCATTGGAGCTTTTGGGCCATGAGAAGGGACAGTACGAGCAACGTGTTTCAAGCAGAGCATGATAAAAAGGAGAGGACTTAATCAGGGTTTGCTTCCTGCCAGCGATGTCCAAGACCTCAAATAGCGTCCTTGCTACTAGTAGTAATGCCCTTTGTTACTAGTAGCTTCTTGTTACTAGTAGTAAGGCCAGGAGCTACTAGTAGCGTCCTTGCTCCTGGTAGCGATGCCCTTGTTACTAGTAGCTTCTTGTCAACTACTTTTGCTTCCTGGCAGCGATGTCCAAGACCTCAGGCTGTTTGAAGTTTTTTCTCCCAAGCAAGACTGCACAGCCCTCCCGGATGAGATAAGCCCAGACATTGAGAGGATTGGAGGATATTGGCTTGGTCAATAGTGTTGAAGTGTCAGTTTGATCTCACACTTTCTCTGTTTGGGTCATGCACCATGTTGGTTGTATATTTGAGGTATTGCAGTCCCAACGACGATGTGAACAAAGGCGTGGCTGGCAGTTAGATTCCCGGTTCCTTCCTGTGCGCAAGCACCCATAAGCCCCATGCCTCCAGTTGAGTTTTAATCAATTTAGTGTATGTTATGGTTCTACAGATTTACTGTAGTGTTTATATATTATAAGGTGTAAAGTGCAAAGCAAGGCTGACTATGATGAGAGTGTCCCAGTCAAAGAATTAGATAGTATTGAAAGAGCGTAGTTTGTGAACAAAAACCTTCAACAAAGTAAGTGAAATTGTACATTAACCGAGAAGTATGTTCTTCAAGGAGGTGCCAAGGACGATACAGAGAACTTCTTGCGCATGGTGCGGCCGACGGCAAGTGTGGCGCAGGTCAGTCGACAAATGACTCCTATCCCACATCCGCAAAACTTGCCTGCATTCTGATGCACTCAGATTTGTTGAATGCCATTAAGAGTCTCAGTTTCTTGGCAGGAACAAAGCGTTAATGTTCGCATCACTTGGATTTCTAGTTGGCCTAGTTGGCTTTCAAAAGGTATAGACAATGCAAGGTTTCATCTCAACTGAAAAGATAAAGTTACTTGTTTTCTTTTTAGTGTGGATTGACAATGGTTGAGTATAATGGTTCGTGGTTGGCCTACTTCATTTTCAGTCGGCCTCAGTACTCTTATTCGGGATAGATTGGCTTGACTGCTAGTGCGGCCGATCAGTCAAACATATGTATGTATAAATACGAGCCCATATATATATAATATATATATGTAAGTTGACTTGATAGAGTCCAGGTCCAGAAAAATATACTGTTTGGAGTGCGGCCCAAAGCTTTGTGGGCCCTTGCAGCGGGAACTGACTTCAGAAGTTCCGAGGGAAAACAACCGCCATTCCGTCAGGTAAGAGCTTCTTCCAGAAGGCTGAGGAGTTTGCAGATGTAGTGAAGATGGGACGGACCCAGTTGCAGGATGCAGTTCCGATGACGCTCCAGCCAAAAGGGATGGTGGAGGCAACAGGGGGCGGCCTTTTCTGTAATCATAAAGTTCTAAGTGGCAGCTGTTTATAATGCTTTGCCACTGCTGAGACGGCTCTACAGCACCCTGACAGTTATGATTTGATGGTACTCATTAAACAGAGCAACAGGGCGGGTTGTATATAATACTGCTTTGTGCACTGAAATTGCACCGTACTTCAGTACAAACTGGGAGAATAACTTTATGTTCTGGGTCAATGCTAACCCTTCAAGGAGAAAGTTGAAGCCAAATCGAACCTGAAGCCACCTTGTCCTTTGAGTACATGTTGTTAGACCCAGTTACCCAGTCAGATGATATTCCCATCAATCTTGTTGAGCTCGACTGTGCGATCCTACGATCCTAGCAGCAAGGACCTTGGGCCAAGAATTTCACGCCTATGGCAACTCTGTGGCCAGTGATATAGATGCTCTTACCAGTGCAGTGAATAGGCACGGAAACATGTGGACATGACCGTGATTCACATACAGTATATAATGTGTTTGGACCAGTGGGCCCCAGCACTTGCCATGGCCCACGGCAGGTTTACCACTTCAAATCTGGGAGGGACAGCCATTGGCACGGGCATCGCAGCGGACCCGCACTTCTCCCAAGTGGCAGTGCAGGCTGTGGGACTGTGGGAAGATTCGACTGGTTGGGTATCAATAGCTTATATTCTTGATACAGGAGGTGTACAAGTTTATGAGTATAGATCATATACACACATGCACATGTTACATTGTCATACAATGAGATGATGGGTTCAAACAGCGGAAACGCTTTGAAGCTTGCAGCTGCTCAATGGGCTTTTGCAATGATTGAAAGATGACAACTTGTTTTTGCAAAGCTTTACCTCTCAAGCCAGGAGTTGAGGTCTGTCACTGGTTTCCCCATGATCCTGGCGGACGATTTGATCGAAGCCTCCAGTAGTGTCGGCGCCACTTGGGCGATTGAAATGTTTCAAGTCAGCAAAGTGTTCTTTTTGGTAGAAGGCTCCCAAAGAAGATCTCTCTTGAGGCCATTTTATCGCCATATTGATTAGCAGATTATACCTTGCGCCAACTCAGGATATGATCTACTTCTCTGGAATGCTTCGGCGCATTGCAGCCAAGGCCAGGCTGTCAAACTGATGCTGGGCTGTAGGTAGATCCAATACGTAGGAGAGGAGAGGGTAGTTTGAGGCAAAACAGTTGCTGCATGTTGCTGCAAAGACAGTAGCAAGCCTCCAATGTCAGTTATGGGACAGGGCATTTGACCGAAGAACATATGTTTGAGCATGTCCCAGTCAGGTAAAGTATCCCTAACCAACGTGTTTGATCATCCCTAATATGTTGTTTGAATCGGGGCCTCCCCCGCTTCATGCTGCTGACCTTTTCCACTTTGACAATCCTAGCAGTTCAAAAACAAGAACGAGAATGGTTTCAATGCATTGAGAATATTTGACCGGATCGTGCTTGACCTCTCGGCTCTTGCCATCTCAAAAGGATGTAGAGATGTTACAGGTACGGATCATGATATTTCACCCGAGTCGTGGCCTTTCTCCCCCTGCTTGGACTATGTTGGAGCAAGGCAAAGTGTTCTTTGTTCCACGTTAGTTTGCAGGACTTTTAGGGGGGTATGGAAGTTCCTTCATTCGTTCATGTCCAACGTCAGAAAGCTCCGGAATTCAACAAAGAAAACACTTTCCTATCACTCCTGACACCAGTTTGCTTGGGAGGTGTCTAAGATCTGCAATGAGCCCTGGTGATGAACTGGCAGCTGTCAGATTTGTTTGTTTGTGTGTGTGCCCCTTGTAGTCACGGGGATCCGTTTGGATTGTACGTTTGACTCCGTTTTCAGTCTTCATTTTGAGCAGGGGGGCGCAGCAGATGCAAGGGACTGCGCCTAACAAAGCTACCTTGCATCTGGGAAGCAGAGCCTGATCAGCTCTGCGTACCTGCTTTTGACAACCTAAGTATTGCCAAAGCTGTCCAATACGTTGTTTCTGCATTTCGTCGTGCTGCAGTAAAGGGCTAGTGCATCGGCAACTCACTTTGGAACCATGGTTTCAGTTACCTGGACCCTTAGGCAGTTTTGCTTAGGCCGGCGTGTGGCACCGCATTCACATCAGTACCCATTTCTATAAGTGTGTCTCTCCTAGTGAGAGCCCGGGATGAGCCCGCAGAGTGCCTCCCGTGGACCCGTCGAACGGGGGTTTGTCGAACGTATCCCCTGCCCGGATACAGAGCAGCTCGCAGCGAGCGTAGGTGGCCTAGGCCAAAGTTATTTGCCAAGACTTGACGAATTATTGAATTCCAAGTTGGCTCACGCCTGTACGTGACCGCAGCGGTCAAAGGTGGCAGCCCTCGGGCAAGCCGTACGTGGTCGCAGCGACCAAAGCTTGTTCAAGGCTCATTGGAACCTGTCCCATTCTTAGGTGCACACACAGCGTTTACATGCAAACGAAGAGAGGTCTTCCTAGGTGTTTCTAATGAGGTTCGACTTCATCGGTTCTCGTTCCCTCCATTCGGTTCCCCTTTCCATCCTTTTTCCCCTTTACACACCTTGGCTTCCTCTTTTCTTTCATGTCCTCCTGTATTCATGTCTGGTCATCTCATTCCTTTCTTCGTTTGCGCGCACATTGGTCCCGGCCTTAGTGTGTACGTACACTTCTACCTACATTTTCAACACAGGTTTTAGGTCGCCCAGGTCTTTACAATGAGGTGGGGTTCATCGGTTGTCCCTGTGCACTTGGTTTCTCTTTCATTGCAGCCACACACACTTTTTTGTCCCGTCTTGTCTTCATCCTTTTGTCTTTGTTGCGCGCACATTTGCGCAACCGTCCTGGCCTTAATTCTTTTTGCCTCCTATCGGGGAGGCGTGTGTGTGTGCCCCTTGTAGTCACAGGGATCCGTTTGGATTGTACGTTTGACTCCGTTTTCAGTCTTCATTTTGAGCAGGGGGGCGCAGCAGATGCAAGGGACTGCGCCTAACAAAGCTACCTTGCATCTGGGAAGCAGAGCCTGATCAGCTCTGTGTACCTGCTTTTGACAACCTAAGTATTGCCAAAGCTGTCCAATACGTTGTTTCTGAATTTCGTTGCGCTGCAGGAAAGGGCTAGCGCATCGGCAACTCACTTTGGAACCATGGTTTCAGTTACCTGGACCCTTAGGCGGTTTTACTTAGGCCGGCGTGTGGCACTGCATTCACATCAGTACGCATTTCTATAAGTGTGTGTCACCCTCCGTCTCTAGGAGTTTTGTTTACCACGATCCTCTTTACCATGTGCAGGGGGGCAGAGAGGACTTGCAAGACTCTGCCCAACGAAGCTCTTTGCAAGATCCTAGGAAACGGAAGCTGATCACTTCCGTGTACCTGCAACCGGAACTTTTGACCACGCTGTCCAATTCCCGAATTTTTGTTTCCATGGTGGTTTGCATGATACTCCCCATAAACCCATTTTCCTGCAGCTGAGCTTGCCACCGCCACGTTCTGCAGTCACGGGCAGACAGTGTTTCCAACTATTCAAGTGAGCTGACTCCATCGCCGTTCCGTTCCATCATTTTTTCTCGTGGAATTGAGTTTACGGAAAACCCTATGTCAAAGTGTGTTTGCAGAATGTTGTGTAATATTTGTGGAACGTGGAGGACAAGGCTGAGCAGCTCGACATCTGGATATCCTTCCAAATTTAATGCCAAAAAAAACCTTTCGCGCCAACATATCTTCTGTTCAACACTTGCAGTTTGGCTCAAAATCTGTGTTCCCCACAACAATAGTTGGCACAAAACTAGTAACATCAACAAAGCCATTCACAAGCCGTTGGCATGCTCCACAGTCCGCCTGAACGCGCAGCCGGCCAAGGATTTGCGGTTGCTCTCTTCGGGCCCGCGGTGCGGCCTAAGCGAGATCAATTTGCCGCCCAAGGCACTGGCCCAATGGGGAATCACCGTTCGTTCGAAGGCCCAATGTCTTTCCTGGTTGTGTACAGCACTTTGGACCCTGAACAGATTTGAATTCTTAATTATTGCATTAATAATCAACTATATATACAATGTGGCTACGGGTCAAAACTTGGGGACCTTGGTTGATCCGTCAAAATCAACACAATGACAGTGCACTACTGGTACCAGGCAGATCAACCAACCACATGTTGGGAGACTTTGATTTTGCGTAGCGCTTGGCACACTACACACCCCTTGCCCAGACAGGCAGGCATGGTAGATAAGATGTACACAAAAACCGCTACCATGAATGTACACGAATAAGTAATATTATAAGACTGTATCAAATTTTGCTGTGACTGTGTTTGCAGTTTTTGAGCCATGCATCGCAGGGTTTCAGGCTGCAGCCGGCTGACCGTCGGGAGAGGTAAACCTTTGCCTGGGTCGCGAATTGGCAATCGGACATGTTTTGCAAGATCTTGCAAGCATAAATGATATATGGACAATGGATAGTTCAAGCCAGCTAATGCCATAGGAGAAGGGGGCCGGCGTACTACCAGCAAGAGCCCACCCAATCGAGTGTACGAAACAATGGTCACACAGGGGTCGACACATGGGAAATTCCACGACTTCAAAACACAAGAACAAATTTCTGGAGATGTGTTCAGGGTAAGGTGTTGTCCTTGGCCGGTTGGGCGATCGTCCGAGGGTTCATCTCGTTTCATTCTTGACAAGTGTTCTCCATGCTTGGTGCTTGGTGAAATTCCGACAAGTGAATCGTGAGATATCGCGAGTATATATCTTCATACTGCTGCTGATAGTGCTCATGTACGTGCTCCAGCTATGGGGCAAGCGACACACACTCTGTTTCGCGCATAGCTGCAGCTGCCTTGTCGGCAAAGCTACTTTACTACCCAGGATGTAGCCTTTGCAATGGTTCTAAGTAATTTGACGTATATATTGCTCAAACCTTCAAGAGGCTGTCAAGAGGCTTGCACATAAAGTACCACGTCAAATTTGGCAATCTTATAATGCATCCAAGGGAAGGCTGAAATGTATGGCCGTATGGCCCACACAACACTCTTAAGGAGATAGGCCGTTCCCGCAAATCAACCGCCCACGAGCTTTTGGGTCAATGTGGACGGGTACTGTAGGCATATCGCATGATCCATTGGTGTATGACAATCTGCCCAGGAATATGATGCAATGGGACGTACACCAGGTCATGTCCACAAATTATTATCGCCCAATCTGATAACCTCAACAAGCAACATGATCAGGGTTGGTAAGGGTAGCACTGTGATAGCTCGCGGGTGTTTACTTGTCACGAATGTGTTCAAAAGTATTGCAATGCAGCTGCCTGTGTGCTCCGATATCTTCTGCGGCGCAGAACGGACAATTGCCATTCACAGACCATGTATATACCGATAAGATCCGATGAGTCTAAGTACCTGTTTTGTATCCACTGAAAACATCCGTGGCCAACCATTTGTTTTCTCGGCCAATTTTTTCCCATAGCCGATGAGTAAGGTAGTTGTGTATGTCAGTTCTTGTAGCAAAAGGTATTTTGATTGCTAAGGCTCCTTGTCCAAACAAAGTACCCTGATGGTTGATTCTCCACCCTACCATCTATAATTGTAAGCCAACGCCCCTGCGGGTCCTTTGGGTTGGCTTTGATATTAACAAATGGCTTCTGCCAGGGGACGGACAGATGACATACAGCGGTGCTAAATACTGGATGGTAATGGAGGATGATGCATGCTTATGGTCACCAATAAGCACTGTGGTAGCTGAAGGCGGGAGCTTGTCAAAATAGTGTTGCTCTACGAGTTGTTTTTTGCACCGTAAACATGTTGCCGACCAAACAGAGGTTTGGTCAATGTTGCTTTCTTTTGAATTGCGAGGGGCAGCCTTTTGAGTCGTGTGCCTCCGAACGGTGCCCAGTACCACATGCCTCGTTTAATTTATATAATGGGATAATGGTCATGGGGGTATTGCTACGTATTGCTATTTGGGAACACTCTCCTGATTTCCAGAATGTTTGGAGCATTTGGGTGTTGATTGCCCCATCCCAATGACGTACGAATTGACGTAGACGCAGGGGATTCAACGTTCTGGCAACAAGCATAAGTGACTGCTAACATTCCGATCACACCGAGTGCGTCTCCCTCGAGCCGACTGCGCCTCCAATTAGTGAGGTTCTCGAGAAAGAAGAAAGTGACAGCTCGTGCCAGGACTCCCAAATGCATGAACATGTCAAACATAGCCGATGAGTACGTCGCAGCAACCGATTTAACAGATTTGGGAGCTCCCGCGGTTTTGACTCACAGCCATGTGTGAAAGATCGGTTGGATGGCCTCGTTGGCCACGTGTTTGCCTCGTGAACGGGTCTTCCAAAAGGTTTCAAGAGGTGCACGGAGGCTGCTGCCTGGGTCCACCAGGTAACGCGGCACATAGCAGTTTTGTGAAAGTTAATATTTTAATTAAAGATATCTAAAGAACTCATGTATTACTTCATGCTTGACAAAGATACTCATGAAGCCATCGAGCCTTACTGGCAGGTCATTTCAAACAGTGGCTTGACATGTTCAAGGTGACCCTTCCAGCTCCAATCTGTTTGAGTCACTGAGCTCCTTGTCAGTATTGTGCGCGTCAGGCGCCAGGTTCTTCCATCATGCCGGGAAAGGCAGGGCGATTCTCGATGGGTGTGAAGAGTGAAGGAAACCGCTTGCCCATAAATGTGTTGGTTTGCATAATGTGTGCCTAAAACTTCCAAGCAACCTAAGAATGTTCTAAGCAATGGAATTGAACACACATTTTTTGACACGGGTCAGATGGCATTGCTGCATGGATTCTGACCTGTCACCGTGTCACCAGAGCTAGTCACACAGATGCACATTCGCCAATGTGCCTAGGGCTTCCAGTTTGATCCTCCACTACCACATTTGTGCTCATGTGTGTTTGCCTCATGATGTTGAGGGAAACCTTTCCATTAGCTCGCAGGTGCCTTTTTTGATTATCGAAAAAGCAGTCATTTGCAGCCACTCCCTTTGAGTAGTCATTTGAGCAGCCACTTGCAGCCACTTGCTTTGGAGCAGCATTCTCAATTTCAACCACGGAGAATATCGAATATTCTTCGGTGCATTTTGCGGAGAATATAAAAGCATATTAAAGCACATTGTTTGGTTTTTCAGAATAGTTAAAATTCTTTGGTGGAAGCTAGGCAAGTGGCTGCAAGTGACTTAGGGGCTGCAAGTGGCTGCTCAAACTAGTGTATTGCGTCTTGGGGAGTACTTGTCCCCATATCTGAGCAATACGTTACCCTGAGCTTCAACGCACAGGTGTAGTCAGACCTTTACTAACGGCCAAGTTTAGCCAGGCCTTTCGGAAGATGGTATGTTTTCATTCATAAGTTGATAGCAGAAGATAGCAAAACCTGAACAAATCGGGAAAAGCCCATGAAGAGGGAGTGAAAAAAGGCCGTGAAAAGCCCAAGAAAGCTATGATTCGATAATGACACCACTCAAAGGAATGTTGTTTGATAAGATAAAACAATATAATATTTTGAGTTACTGTACGAATAGCGATGGCCTCCACGATGACAGAAGTGAATCCTAGCCTTCAGGTCATTTATGGCCTTTGTCCGAACGCACTCGGTAAACGTGTGCCGCGGAAGTCATTCAAATTCAAAATACGTGTCACTTGCACGCTCTTTGAACATATCGATGAGCTCCAGGTCAATCCAGTTATTCCGGAGGTGATGAATATGTGTGCCTTTGAAGCCATCGGCCACTCGAATCATGGAGTGGCTTTGGGATGTGCCTTGCGTTGACCTGCGGAACCACTAGTTCCCTGTAGAGAACATGCAAAACGACTGAGAGAGGCTCCACGTCATCCACTATAGGTTGAAAGTCATGGGGCGGCAATTTGACTTAAATAGTTTGTGGTGGTTTTGTCATGTGTCGAGTAGGCTTCCAGAGCGAGCTTCTAACAGAGAAGGTCTAGTGCCAGCATCAAGAATTTGCCTTTCAATCCGCTGGGCTTGAGTGACTTATTGATTCTTCGGGTTGCCAGCAAGAGTAGGAAGATATATATAGGGTATCCCGGCAGATCCCCCCAGGAGGATCCGACCAGACTCTCATGGTTCCCATATGTTCCCATTGGTCCCACCACTTTCTTTGGGGCCACTAGTAGCGCCCTTGCTCCTAGTAGCGATGCACTTTGCTCCTAGTAGCTTCTTGTTCCTAGTAGCGATGCCCTTGTTACTAGTAGCGTCCTCTTGTTCCTAGTAGTAAGGCAAGGAGCCCCTAGTAACCTAGTAGCGCCCTTCCAACAGCCTGAGGCAATGACGTCACGGTGGCCTTTGGTGCAGAGGCCGGTCAGCTGGAGCTCAACGTCATGGAGCCTGTGATCATCTACAAGCTCTTCAGTGGCTTGAACTGGACGAAAGATGCTAACCTATCTTAACCTACTGTATTGGGATTTGATTGATTGGATGGTATCATTCGTGACGAGATACTGCAGTAAGACAAGTCTCACATTCCAGAAGAAGTGTGTATCTTCATTTCAGATCAACCAGAAATAAGCGTAAAACATGTTTATTTGAACATATTATATATATATACTTTGCCACCTAAACTCGCAGATACTCACAATAGTGTTTCTCAACGAATGATGCAACATTTGTGGGAGGGGCCAGAGGATGGGAATTTGAGATGCAAGAGCTTGGAGTGTTTGGGTTAGTCTCAATGGCAACCAAAAAAAGGACTGCTGATTTGTGGCTTCCGGGCTTCGAATCTATCAAGGCCCTTCTGATCTGGTTCAATCAAAATCACCACATTTCCGTGCTAGCCTGCTGGGTTTACTGGCCTATGGGCACAGCGGCAAGAGGCCGAAAAAGGCTGCCGTTCAGGCTCCAGCTCCGTGCTCGGAAACAACTTCCCAGGTTCCATTCGGGTTTTGTCCCGCGGCATCAACACGCTGCGGGAACATTGCATTGAGGGCATCACCGCTAACCGGGAGCATTGCAAGGTGCGGAAGATGGGTGGAAGACCACCAGGGAATTATTGGAAAACGAACTGAACACAGTTTTCATGTTGATAGTTGATACTCTAGTGACCTAAGGATACTTACTCAAGCAATGTCATGCACAGCACTTCCTGCACTGCCAGGAGATGGTGCACAACAGTATCGGTGTGGTGACCGCGTTGCTTCCCCACATTGGATACAAGAAGTGCCTTTGGCAGAACCAAGCCTTCACTTGCTTGGTTGAGCACCAAAACCATTTATGGTTCCAGAATGTGGGACGCATGAACAACAGCAAAGGCAACGTCGCCAAGAGAATAATGTAATAGCCATCAGCCATCATTACGGAGATTCGTAGGCAATAGCCAAGGCGAAGCAAGTCCGTCCACTGGTCCACCTCCCACTTTTGAGGTGCACAGAGGCAGCAGATCGGGCCACTCGGGACAAACGCCCCGTGGCTGACATCATCGTGGAGCTGGGCTTTCTAAAGCGGGAGGAGCGGCGTGGACAAAAGCAGACAACGATAGACTCCAATAGACTCATGGATCTGGCCGGTTGAGGGTTGCATTTGAATACAGGGCTAGCCGGCTGGAGCTGGAAGATGGGATTGGAGCTGATGTCAAGTTCAAGCTGGGAACAAGCTTTTGCGTCCATCCCTGCCGGCAGGAAGTGGATAACCTCTTGCAACCTGAGTCCATGTGTGGGCCAACTGCCAAAAAGGCAAAGTTCTCGCATGCATGAGCTGCCAAAACCAGAGGATCAGACACGGCACAGTGGCAATGTGTGAACATTTGTTTGTACTCGTAAGGACCAAAGGAGACATGCTCAGAGTCGCACACTGCTCATTGTTCTGTATAATATATTACGTCTATATGTTAAACGCCCCGTGAGTTAAAACGACACGCCGTCATGTTTCTTGACCGCAGTGTTTCGGCCTCAGCTGATGAGCGGCCCTCCTGTTGAGGGAGGGCCGTGCCAGTGTGCCTTCTGCGACCTGGTGAAGAAGGTCTCGGAGATCTTCCATAACCAGGTGAATCGCGAGGGCCGGCAGTGCATCTACGCCTGGGGTCAACCAGGCGTACGTGACCGGCCTGGAGTTCGCCCTCGCACTACTGTTGTTTGACAAAGTCGTGCCCCCAAAGCAGGTTTTATCAGAAATGGTTGCGGGAGAGGATGTTGCAGAAGTCGTTCCTTTTTAGAAAACACAAGGGAATGCGCTTGATGGACTGTATTCATAGTTTTTCTTTACTTTTGCATTGAATGTTGTGTTCAGCTTGGGAAAGAGGATGTTGGCAAGATGCATTGTTTCATGTTGAAGTGGTTCAAATCCTGCGTTTAGCTTGGGGAGTGGTTACCCTCATCGTGACAAACCTGGGTGCTCCGACTTGCAAGTCGGCATTCCTGCACCCAGACACAGACACTAGCAAGAGGCAGGCCTTGTGTTTATGGCTGCAGTGGGAAACTTCTATGTAGCTACCATGACGCGCTTCAATGACTCTGGCTGTGCATGGACGGGTTAGAAGACAGCAGTTTCATGTCCAGGGACACTCAGGGCAAAGCAGGGGACCAATGATGTACAGAATCAGATATGATGCAAGTTGTTTCCTTCTTTTTTGCTTTCTTTCTTTGGCATGGCGTCGACGCCTCGCAAGCGGCTGTGCTTGGAAGCTTCTCCTTTGTCATCTCAGAAGGCTGCTCCTACTAATCAGGGCAGTCATGGAATCATTTTGGAAGACCTTGACCCAACTTCTTTCCATAGACGCTGTCAATTAGACTACAGTGAGAAGTGGGGCTGTGGAAGTGGCTCTAGCTAGAAGAGTGTTATTTTGCTTTTGCTAGCACTCTGAATGGTTTGATGTTGGCAGGTGTCGTTCTGATAGCACTGTGTGTCTGTGCAGGTCCCACGTCGAGAGCTGCAAGAGAAGGCAGAAGCTCCAGATGCTTGCCAGCTGAAGCGCTGTGGGTTTGAAGCTTCCTTTATCATCATTTACTTTGTGCAAAATTGTGTCATCCAACTGTTTGATTTCAATTTTTTGTTTTGGAAAGATGTGGGGCATTCAAAAAGTGATACATTCAACGTTCGAAATGAATCTTGCATTGAGGAAATGCCTCAAGAACAGCTGGCCCAATACCTTCGCGAGAAACATGCTGATGTGTTCTCTCGACTGGACAAGTTGTCTTGGGAAGCCAAGCAAGTTGATGAGCATGATGAGAAGCCCAAGCATGTCATGAGCAAAGGCCAAAGGCCTGTGGAGTCGACCGAGTGCGCGTTCTGTGGTGCGCGAAAGCATACTCACAAGTGGTTGTACAGGGCTGGCAAGAAAGGACTTCGGCGCTGCAATGGCAGCACTTGCGCAGCTTGCTACCGTTCGGCCATTCTCCTACGTGTTTCACGCTCCAAAGCTTTGATTGAGAATAGCGGGGCCATTTCTATTTTCAAGGTGCTGAGCAGTCGTGTTCGCCGTAACTTTGGCGATGAGGATGTTTGTGAGTGTGCTGAATGCAAGCCAAAGACGTAGTTCTCAAGGGTTTCTTGTGTCTAAGTGTGAGCACTTGCCGACACTGCTTATGGGGAAAATGCTTCTGCAGAACGGCTTGGAAACGTGTTTTTTCAACCAGATCCATCATACAAGGGTCACCCCATCACATGGAGGTTTGTCATATGGGTCTACATACCACACAGGCCCTGGCAGAGTGGCGCATGTTTCTTATCATCTCCACGCTTTTCACAGAACATCTTCCTTGTTTCACATCCAAACTTGCTTCACATCCACATTTGCTTTCCCGGTCAGAGAGTGTCCTGAGAAGATCTCATGCAAGTTGTGCTCGCCCCGCTGCCTTTTCCACGTTTGTAGTGGTTTGTGGGAATGCCGCCAAAAGAGTTTCTTTCTTCCGCGAAAGTCGCGCGGCTATCCTACTCCAATTTGATTTGCGCCTTAGATGCTTGGGGAGTAGAATACAGCTCTAGCGACAGGGAGCTGGCACTCAGGGCAAAGCTTGATGAAGCCATAGCAGCTGCAATAGAGAAGAAGAAAGGGAAGCACTGTGGGGGTGCTTCTGGTGAGACTGCTCCGAGCAAGGCAGCTGAGCCTCCTAGTATCCTGGTAGGAGAGAACAATGGTTTTTGCAACAAGTTATGCGGGAGTCATTCTAAGTCCCTTGCATAGAGACAGGCTTTAGAATGGACATGTCAGAAAGATAGGCGCACTGCTACTACTACTACTACTACTACTACTACTACTACTACTACTACTACTGTTGATGTTGTAACATGGATGGGCAGTGCCTCACCTAGATGAAAGTCGGACCTCGTTCGGGACCTCGTTCCCCCTCCCACTTTTTCCAACCAAAAAGCTGTATTGCCTGGAATTTTGTTTTCAAAGGGCTTCTCTAGCAGCTGCAGGCCAAGCACCTGCTAGTGGCGCTTCGTCTGGAGCTTCAGAATCTGCTGCGCCTGTGGAGCTTTAAACTGTGGGTTGCTAAGACCCAGGCCCCGGCTGACCAGATTGGCCTGGAGAAGGTTCGCACTAAAACGACTCATGAAATTGCAGCCTGCCAGCCTGATACTGTGTCAAACGCATTCGATGTTCTCGGAGAGATGATGACAAGGCTGGGCCTGATGAAAGACGGTGTAATTCTTCAGACAGCAGCCGACCGTATCCTGATCTGCGACGAGAAGGGCTTCAGTTCTCGTTCGGACAGCCTCACGAGACGTGTCACTACACATGCAGATCGTAGCAAAACAGCAACTGCCGCTGCTGTCACTACGTTTGAACACATAACTGTCTGCACTTGGATGGCGATGGCTGGAGAACCCTTTCCACCAGGGGTTGTTGTGCCCTTCAAGAGCTTGCACCCGAGCATGCAAGAGATTTGGGAAGCTCGAGTTGTGAAAGTGTTTTTTGGTTTGTAGGGAACAGATAGGCAGTGGAACCAAACGCAGACAGATTTGGGGCAGATAGATCTTACTCCAGACACCCAGACAAAAAAGATAAATGTTTGCTAGTGATGGACACAGGGGGGGGGACGCTGCCTCACGTCACCTTGGGCGTCATTTTGCTGGCATCAAGGTATGAGGTGGACATTTATGTCTTAGCCTCATATACGACAAAGGCACTACGCCCTTTAGACCAAACACCACACGCCTTGATGGCGTCCAGATGGGCAGCCTTTAAGTTTCACTGGATTCAGGGCGGGAAGGATTTGACAATCTTTCAAGGCCTGGCAGCAATCAAGCGGATTCATGCCGAGGCGGTCAGTGCTCAGAATGCAGCTGCTGGGTGGGCCCGCTGTGGCTTCAGAGCAGGGGAGCTTGTGCAACGTGCTGTTGTGTTGGAGGAAAGGTACACAGAGATTTTCTCGTCCCAGAAAGCAGGCCCTGGAAACATTGGTCAGCAGCAAACAGCGACCTTCAATGTCCTTGGGGTGCTCCAGAGCGTCAGCCCCTCCAAGGTGTGCTGCAGCAATGAGGATTGCAAACAGAAAGTCACAGTTGCCGACCGCTTCTGCTCTCTTTGCGGCACTCCCAACTCCAAATTCGATCAAAAGACATATGACCTTTTCCACGCTCGGCGACGGTCAGGGTGGCACAAGCCTGCTGACTATGTGGAACTGCAGCCAGAAACACCAGCTGAGCAGGACTTGGCAAAAGGCATCGGAGATCTGTTGGCAAGAATCAGAAGATCTTCCACAGCCTCGGATGAGAAAAAGAAGGAGCTTCCTCCCAAGCAATCGGGAGAACCCGTGGCAGAAGTGGAGGAGCCCAAAGGCAAGAAACAAAAGACGTCAGTTGTGGCCGAACCTGCTGGTGCAACGCCGCAGCCTCAAGAGTGGGACCTTGACCGGGAAGAAGACTGCGCTGACTGGATTTGTCAAATCTGGAAAGAAGACAAGCGGCCACAGATTCGACCTTTGGCAGATTTCTTCATTCAAGAATTGAAAAAGAAGAGCGCCAAAGGCGAGAAGCTCAGTGAGACATTTTACAAGACAGTGATTGGACCCAAATTACTTTGTACCTCGAAGAGGCGAGAAGACTGGGTCGCAACTCAGAAGCACAACCGCTCATTGCGGTATGCGCCGCACCCCAGCTCTGTGTGGAGCAAATAGCTCTCGCAGGAAAAATCTGCTGTGAGCGCGGCGTTCACAGTGTGGGAAGTGGGTACGGGCGAGGTTTTCTGTCGGTTGAACACATGGTAAACACATTGGAAACGCAATTTTCCTGCTAATGACTGCACTTTATTCTTCTGTTTTGCGTTGCGTTTACATTGGGACCTACTACTCGGGCATGACTTAGGTATGACTTTTTTGAGTGCAGCGTTTACATGGGGAAGGAGGAAGCGGGCATGACTTTTTCAAGACTTTGTCGTCCTGCTGTACAAGGCCGCGGTGAGAGAGTCTTCACGGGTGAGCGAACCCGAGAGGACGCGGGAGCCCCTCCGCCACAAGGGGCTCCTGGTGAGGGAACTGAGGTCAGCGACAACAAGGAGGAGGACCAGCCTGCCAAGAGAAGAAAGCGAAGAAAGCGAAAGGAGAAAGCCGAGGACCCGGACAACACCGAGGACAAGGACCTGCCTGAGATTGCCGAGAAGGAGTCGCCTGTGAAGAAAGAGAGCCCTAAGAAAGCAGAGACCCCTGAGACCCCTACAGAAGAGGCAAAGAAGATCCCTGAAACCGACCCTAGACTCCCCTTGCCACGAAGGCCAGCCAAGCCCACTGAACCAAAAGAGAAGAAGTCCAGAGAGGGTGCAACATCGAGCAGCTCGAAACTGGACTTGCGGCCAAAGGTCAAGGCAGAAAGGAAGAGGTCAAGCAGCCGCTCACGTGAGGTGAAGAAGAAAGAAAAGGCGCGTGAGAGAAGTCCGAGCCCACCAAGTCGTGCAGCAGAGGGAGGCAGGAGGGCCTCCTTGCCAGAGGTTACAAAGGAAGAGGAGGAGGAAATTGAGGACGTGGTTGAGGCTCCTCCTGGTGAGTGGGAGGAAGAGAGAACTCCTATAAAGCGGCCAAGGTCACCAGATCATCCCCCGCCTTTACCGCGTCGGCCTTCGCGAGGCCAGCTCTGGATTGGGCCGATCAGGGCATTCAAGAACAAGAAGAAGCCAAAGAGGAATAAGGGCATCAAGAAGACCTTGAAGAACGAAAGGAGAAGACAGCAGCTCTGGGAGGAGCGAGCCCAGAGTTACAGCTACTCCCGGTGACTTGGGGAATGCCCCCAAGACGACGACCGGCTGCCGCTCCTGGTGGTCGAGGTTTGTTGAGGAGGCCTGTCCTGCAGCAGCATGGCAGAAGGCGGGAGAGGTTGCTGTGGAGTCTCTCCTGGAGTGGCCTTGGGTACATATTCGAGGACAGTATTGGGAGGAAGAGGTAGAGCTTGTCGGCAAGGTGGAGGAGATCTTTCGGCAAGAGGATGGCAGGAGCATCTGGTTGAAGGCCAGTGGAACGCCCAACGAATCCCTGCTCAAGTACCTGTCCGGGGTGGCTTCAAAGAGGGTGAAGATACACCTTTGCAAGAGTTCTGCACCGCGTTGGTGTGGGACGAGGGTTACATCCATGGCCGAGAACTTCAAGAAGTGAGGAGAGAGGCCATTGGGTGGAGCCAGAACCTCGAGACCGTGGTCGAGAAAGAGGAAGTGGACGAGCTTCGACATCTACGAGAAGGAGCCGAGAGAGTCAGAGACAGAGGGAAAGGAGTAGGAGCAAAGGTGGTGAAAGAGAAGGCAAAGGACAAGTCTCCTGGTACATCGGGAGACAAAAGCGAGAAGAGAAAGAAAAAGAAGAGGAAGAGAGAGGAAGCCCGCATCCAAGGAAAGAAACCCCTGGCGAGCCTGTTTGCCACTACGGGACTAGATCCCAAAGTGGAGGTCCGCAGAAAGGTGAAGAGACGAGCTCAGAAGGTGACAAGGAAGAGCCGCAGCAAGAGAAAGGACAGCCACTCAACAGCCAGTTCATCGTCTTCGAGCATGAGCGACGAAAGCGAGGCCCTGGGGGACAGAGATCTCTTCGAGCCGGCCACACCCACACAGAGAGTGTGGCGCCGCTGCCCAGGTGCCCTCACCATGTCGATGATTGCAGAAGCGAAGGAGGCCCTGTTGACGCAGCTGGGGGTGGCAGGAGATCCAGTCGACGGAGCAGTTCCGGCCATAGCCACCCAGTATGTGAGACAGGTCCTGATGCCCACAATGAGTGGGCCGGTGGCCCGGGAGTCGCACCACTGGGGACTCCTGCTGGATCTGCTTTTGACGGCTGCAGCGGCAGACTTGGGGCACCCAATGCCTCAAGCCCTTGGAGGGGCACTCCAGGGGAATGAAACCGGAGTTGCTACGCCAGCTGGAGCTGGTGGCTCAGGAAAGGCCCTCTCTGAGCAGCACTTCGGAGCTCAGAACAGCGGGCAAGCAGGCAAACGAAGAGCAGAAGGTGCTGCAGAAGTCGACGTTCAAGGAGGTGCCGGACAAGTCCAAGGGCTATGGCAAGGATTGGAAGCAAGACAAGGGCGAGAAGGGTGGCAAGTACGAGAAAGGCAAGAAAGGCAAGGGCGAAGGCAAAAAGAAGTGACTTCGAGGGGTCGTGATGGCTTTCAGGCAGAGCAAAAGTACAGTGGCAGGAGAGATGGTCCTATGGCAGTGGTACGGAGGCGCCTTGTGGCGAGGTGCCTCCTGGTGAGGAGACTATGATGGATACAGCAATGGGCGCTCCGATGATGGCATGGACTCCTGGTGGCAGGGAGTCGACAGATGAGATGGGGAGCAGGGTTTTTGAAGGAGCTTGCACTGGAGAGGCCAATGGTGCAGGCGAGTTTCACGAATACAATGGTGCATGGATTCTCCGAGATCCTCAGCTGACCCCGCCGGCGGGAGTAACGCCTGCCGCAGACTTAGATGAGAAGGATCCCAAGCATGGTCAGAGGACGGTGCATGAGGTCTACAAAGCTGCTTTGGGCATCTTACAGAAGGATGACGTGATGCGCTCCACCATGGGTATGCGGAAGGATGTGGCCGACGAGCTCATGCCGCTGCCCGTGCCCCTGGCAGACACGATGCTGGCCGCCTTGGTGACTGGCATCAACCACTTGGGAGGTTGGAAGAACCCGCCTCCTGGTCCAGCCAAAGGCTCCGACCTCAGAGACCGCGCGGTGAAAAATTTGAGCGCCTTGCTGCATCGACATGGCATGTGGAGGGTTGCAGAAAGTGAGTTAAAACGACACGCCATCATGTTTCTTGACCGCAGTGTTTCGGCCTCAGCTCCCGCCCACCCAGCCCGGCTGGACGACTGTTTAAATTTTTTCCTTTTAAAAGGACACCTGTCTAAGGCTCTCGGTTTGGCGAGAGGCCTTAGGGGGTGAGAGGAGTGAAGGTTCAGTTCGGCTAGGCGGACTGTTCGCTTCACTGAGCCTCAAGAAAGAGAACAAAGAGTCAGAGTCAGACTCAAGTCAAGTTAGTGTAATACTTGACCCTATCGTATTTCTTTATTTATGTTTATGACTAAACTGGGGAGCGCGTCAGAAAACAGCAGGCGTGAGTTTTTATATATATGTTTATATAACTATACTTCAAGAGTAAGAAAGTTTGGTAACAACTTCACTCGAGAATCTCGCTGACATGACTTCTCTTTCCCAATCATATTCCGGCGGATTATTTTCCACCCCGAACTAAATCAGGTTTACTTCCGGGTGAGATATCCCGCCAGAATTTCACTGTGATCATCGAAAGGGTTGTACGTAATACCAACTTTTGTCCTGCCTCTCTCTCTCTTTATATATATACATACATATATTTGCGTATATAGTAATCTACCAGATGTAGTTGAGCAGCTGCCAGCAGGAACCTGTGGTTTCGGCAGTTTCCGGCGGTCCGGCAGAGGTTAGATCCGACAGATCCAACTCATGTTGGGGGTCATGGGGACTCCCTTCTGGGCTTGTTGTACATAATTGTGCATGCACACGTGCAGGGCAAAGGTGCTTGATACACTTCCAGGATGAAAACGGAAGAAAAGGTCATGACTGGGTTTTCAGGTTTGTGTTTTTTGCCCTGGTGATGAACAAACAGCTGAGGGAACACTAACCGTATTGATGGAGTCCTAGAGCAGGAGCTCGTAACAGATTTTGGAGGCCAAGTTGGATCCAGAGGATGTCAAAGTGATGAGGCGATTGCCACAAAAGCTGGGTTGATAGAGTGCTCGAGGTTCATGGGGCTTGCGCTGAACAGGAATCCCAGCAAACTTCAGGGTTTGAGGTATGCGCCTTTGCTGGTGAGCTGCGGCCACAAATCACCGGGCAAGAAATCACTGCGACCACATTAGTTTTTACTCAGCCAAATATCCTTTGGTATCCATAGCTGTGGGCTTACCCCCTATTTCTTTTGGCTGATAGTGTCCATGTGTATTTCCCTGCTTCTAATAATGTGGACCCTGAAATAATAAACTTCCTCAGAATAAAGCATAACAATTCCAAGAATCGACTAAGAATGACAAACTACCCCAACGTGCCCAACGTAACGCAAAACATGTTCCAGAAAAAGGCCATATACATACATTGCTATGTATTGCTTTGTGCTTCCTAATTTAAGTTGTTTGTCCCATTGATCATCCACCTAGTTTCCGAATGCCTCATTACCACTGCTGTCCCGGTGATTTGTAGTTCTTCCAATCCAAGCCTTTTAGGTCAACCTACATAGGTACCCCTGATGAACCTACCAAGAAACCTTAACAATTCTTGAGCCTAGTCAACCAAGTTCTCTACAATAAATGCATTGATTTTGGTTTTATTTGTTCTCAAAGGCTGCTTCTTTCCTTATTCAGTCCAATGCTCATTCCAGAAAGCTTCTTAATTCATTGGTTCCTTTAGATCCAACATTGATCCCAGGAGTCCTCCCCAATAATATCCAATAGTAAGGTACAAGTCTGAGCTAATCTAAACTTAACGAACATGTCAGTCTTTGCAGATCAACCCGAGGCTCTTTTCTAGGGACTGCGCGTTGGTTAGCTTTGCGGCCGTTTGAAGACGCGCAAGATGAAGTTTTGCTGGAGCTGGATGGCTCTTGAAATCCTTTGCGATACACATTGGGAGTTGTGGCAACAAAGTAGGAAGATTCAACAGTCTAGACTACTCCAAGGGCACGAGGAAGGATCCATACGACAAATTGGGAATCTCATGTTTGCAAGTTATGCAAATCAAATGAACAAACCGGCATGTGCTTGATCGGCCCGTTGTTTGCATATCATGCTGATGCGAAGATAGTCAACCTGACAAAGTGTGGACCAAAGGTAAGATAGACGATGGTAGACGTCTACTGGTACTACCAATGATATATAGTACTTCATTGAATCACAGCACTTTGAGCCTTGGCCCAATGCATCCTTACATGTGTTTATTCTGTGGGTCGAACAATGCTGTACTATAACACAAGTCTTGGATGTCCACTTTGGCAAAACAATCCTTTTGATTCCTGGGCTTGGCTGTTCGTGAGAATCTCACAGCTTCACAGAGCTTCATTTAACAAGTTATATACTTGATGATGATGTTTCATCAATAATCATTTCGAGGGCGTTGGAGTGTGAAGTACATATGGTGTACCAGAACCGTATGCCAGGCATGATTTTGTTAGCAGCCTTGTCACATTGAACGGAACGAAGACGTTCGAAATGTTCAACTGGACAGGTTCAACTGGACAGGAAAATAGCTCTACCATTTGAGGTATCTTTGCACTAATGTAGATCAGCAAGTTCTTTTGCACGTGTTCGAGAATCGCGACCCGGAGATCAGTCTGTGTAAAATTCAAACATTGTGGAGCTGGGCTGTCCTCACGACTTCCGAGATCTTGGATCGTGTGGAGGCAAGCCTTCCTGTAGTGCCTGAAGGGACTCCATCGGCCCGAAGGGGGCGGTGATGTTGTTCTGCACGAAAAGATGTCTTTGTTGGACGAGCGATGTTTTGGCCAGAGAGACCAATCCATGTGGATTTGCTTTGATTGTTATGTTCAACCTGCTAGGGATGGCCTCCAACCTACTAGCGATTCGTTTGATATATATATATATATATGTTCTCGTTTACAAGCAAGTTGTCTTGTTTGTTTGCCTTCCAAGCTTCAGTTCGTGCCTGTCAAGTACCAAAGTTGGTTGGCTCCCGCTGAGGGAGAGCTCATGCTCCAGCAAAGACCAACTTTGAGAATGTAACATTATTGACAACATTTCACAACCAAATGTGCACGCCTTAGCTGGTGCTGGTTCTGACTAACCATGATGCGCCAGGCACAGAGCTTTGGGTTTTTCTGTGGACTTCCAGTACTTCCTTCGCAGGAGTCGGAATACAAGGCTTGGAAATTTGCGGCTTGACCGTTTGCATCCTTCATTGTCTTTCGACTGCTTCTCCAGTTGCTCGGGTCAATTGTTTGTAAAGAAAGCCTGCTGCAAAGAACTGGAGTCCAAGCGCCAGGGGTTCCATGTTCGTGTCCGGCCAGACTGGATGCTGCCAGGTCATTCACCTTGCTCCATGTTCAGCTGCCAGGTCATGTGACTGATTCAGAGTTTGTGCTGTCGCAGTTTCTGCTGGTCACTGACCCAAGCTGCTTGATGCGCGGCAGTAGAAGCAAGTGCTTTGGCTCGTGAAGACAGGCTGCAACATCCTTATACACTGGCCAGATGAAAGTTGCGCTTGTTGATGTTGAAGCTCTTGACAGCCCTATCCCCCTTGAATCCTACACGATGAGACAAGGGAAGGTGTGGGCGATCATTTGTGAGCTGTTTTTGACTATTCAAAACGGCGTGATAATTGACCGTCCCACACCTGCCACGAAAATCAGACTTGTTAAGTCGATTCGCCGCTGACCTCAGAGTGTTTTTGTAAGACGGCTGACAAGCATAAACTTTTGTTTGCCTGAAGTATACCTGTTCCGAAGACATAGACTTAGACACCTACAAGCCTTGAGGGAGGAGAGACAAGCCTAAAGTTTCTATTCATGAGGAACTCCGAAGTAGAAAAGGTCAGAAGCGACAGTCAAACGGGTGCGCGTCGACATTGAACTCACCAGGCCTTTTGGCTCAAGGAGTATCGCCAGGTGAGTTCTATCATGTGTCAGCCCTGTGCTGCGCAAACTGTGCAGCACAGGGTTAATTCATGTTCATTCTGTCAGAATTGTGGCACCTGACACATGTGAGACATGCCATGGATGATAGGCAAGTATTCTTATTTGGTATTTTTTGCCCACACTAATGTAATGTCAACTTGAGCCCCAAAACCACTTGGATTCAACGTGATGCCGCGGAGCTTGTGGCCTCAGCCAGCCTTGGAAGCTGGTTTGCAATGATTCCACTCGTTACCAAAAGAACGGTGAAATTGCATAGGAGATCCATGGAGATGCAAAAGGTTTTTTTGTCACTGGGTTTTGAGGGGAGACACGTTTGTTGTCGAAATTTGTTGAGGCACACTTGTTACCAAGATGCAAACGAGCACAGGATGAGCCAAATTGTTTCAATAATTCTTTTGTTCGGTGCTAGAACCAAGATGCCATGTGCATCCTGCACCACAGGTTCAAGTGGAACCATATTGGTTGAGTTTGTGGCCAAAAAACACAACATCGACAATTAAAGGAGCATCAGCATCAGTGCGATTATGACAGTCCTGTTGTTCTTTTAAATGGAACAATAATTGACATATTAGTGTTCCAGCCACCCCCTGATTCACCGTGATATCCTCACCAGATCACCAGATGTTGACATCAACACACACATACACGAGGAGCTGGTTCTACAGCCAACAATCGTTGAACATCCATTTTTAGATGCAGAGAAGGACATTGGATGCAGAGAAACACCGGTCTAGTTAGTTTTTTTGGGCTTGAAGATACCTCCAGCTGAAGTAGACCTCAAAGTAAGAACAAGAAACAACTGGTGGTGAGGACAGCCCCAGAAGTGATATTCAAGCCGGTTGAAATGGTTTGCTTTGAGCATCTTTTAGCCTCTTCACTCTTCCGCTGGTTTGCTGAGGGCTTCTTTGCACTCAGACATTCCTGTAAGCGTTGCTAGGATCCTTTGGCCTTGCGCAGCGCTTTCCGCGATTGGGGAGTCACTTGGCCAAGAAATAAAGGAAACTCAACTTGCATCAATCACAATACTTTTATACTATACCTCATTTTATGCCATAGAACTGTAATGCACTTTTTGTACTCTTTCCACCAGACAGTTGCACTCGACAAACATCTCCAGGTGAAAGATGTTCACCTCTCGACCGCTCCTTGGCGCTATGCGAAGCTCTTCTTCGTCAATGCGAAGCTCTTCCCTTCGAACATGTTTTCGCTCTCCATGTTCGAACTGTTAATCTTTAGGCCTTAGATATCTTTAGATCCTTGTTTTCCTTTTTCTGTGTTCCTTTGCTTTCTCATTGCTGTCTTTAAGATTCAATGAAAGGTGAACTGGGAACACAAGCCTAGTTGAGCAGTGTCGTATAAAGTGCTGCTGCCTTGACTTTCACATGTTGGTTGCGCCCAAGCGTGCCACTCGACCCCGTGCAGCTGCAGCGAGTACAGAGTGTGCTCAATACGTTGGTCCAGCATCATTTGAGTCACCTGGATAACGCAATCTGAGCCCTGGATTACTGTTGTTCATCCCATCCCGCAAGACGCAGGAACTGAAGGTTCTCCGTGGGACTAACGAGGTAGACACTGCACATTGACATGTGGGCCTTCAGAGCTACAGTATGTTTGCATATATATTACAAAATAGTATACATAATTGAATGCCAAATGATGCCAACATTACATAAACTTGGCACGTAGACATTGGTGCGTCAACCAAATCCGGCATGGCGAACACCTCTGAAAGCTTCGAGCAGCTCTTGGACAGCTCCTTGCACCGTGGATTCAACCTAATAGCGATGGCCTCCAACCTACTAGCGATGGCCTCTAACCTACCAGCGATGGCCTCCAGCCTAGAACCGATGGCCTCCGGCCTCCACCCTAGAAGCGATGGGCCTCCTTCCTAGAAGCGATGGCCTCCAACCTAATAGCGATGGCCTCCAACGTTTATGAGATAGACGTGGGCCAAACCTGGCCTTCAAAACCATTCAAGGCCCACTCTTCAGCTTTACTTTGTTTGTTGCTCAGCACAGACCCTTTTGCTGCTGCAATTGAAGAACGGATGACAATTTGTTTTACAGTATTGGTCCGCTTATGCTGGTATGCTACAACAATTGATCGACTGCAGATGAGAAAGACGGGGTTTCTCAATTTGCCACATTATACTTGGTTGCTTTTGGACCTCCAGGCAGCAAATAGCATTTGGCACGTTTCGTATGACCAACCGGCCTG